AACGGAAACAACAGTTAGAAGCTGAATTGAAAGTTTTTCTGCGAAATTAGTTATATTTGCATTTTTATGGAGGAACTGGCAAAAGCTTAAGAGTGTACTAATTATTTTTCACTACCAAAAAGACTTCTTACGAATATAAGCGCTGCCTGCAATGTACATCTGAGCGGCATTATTAATTATGCCGTTAGAGTTAAGTAAAGAAAAATTAATTTAATAACAAGTCAGAAAATGTGAATTGAAGACTCAAGAGAAAAGAAATAAGAATTTACAATTTTCAGAATAGGACTTTTTTTAATTCAATAGAGAGTCTGAGATAAAAGCGCATGAGACCTCATTATACGGTAGCTCATAATTTTGTTCTGAGCGGCTTCACACATGAAGTAAGTAAATATTATTAAGGCTAATTATCACTCTAAACTGCCAGAAACAGGTTACCGAAATCAATTCAGATTTTTACAGATCTATGTTATATAATATAATAAGCCTTTGTTAAAAGAAAATTTGAAGAGAAACTTCTTTTAGAATTCTCTACACTCTACAGTTCAGTTTTAAACCATTCAAATTGAAAACTACAATATTGTTCTATTATAAACTAGGCTAGGGTTTTATAGTTGATGTATATAATCAAGTATATGGAAGGAATTAGTTTTCCAATCCTTCAAGTGGTTTATACAATAGACATGGTAGGAATTCTCAACACAAAACTTGTCTGATTGGGAATTCGCAACCCTTTCTTTGGTAATAGAACTTGTCGTTAGCAGAGAATCAGAAATACACTTCTTATCTAAACAGACTTTCGTAGTACTTTTCCTTTCTTTCGCGTATATATGTACATATGCTGTACTCTCGAACAATGCTAAAAAAAATTGTGAAAGGTCAAAGGTAAGATAATTATTAATTGACGTATGCCTAAGTCTTCTCTTTAAAATATGAAACTCGAAAAATTGAAAGGCGATCAGATGAGTCTAAAACATTGACGAAATTGAAACAAGAACAAGAGATTCCAAACTTGAATAACGCTGCCGCAACAACAGATTCATAAGCTTAAGCACAAAAACTGACAATCGCGACATGAATCGTGATAGAATTCTCTTCAAGACACATTTCGAAACGTATCCCAAATAATTTTGGTCAAACAAAACACTTCAATCGTTGCATACATTTCTAAATTTGCTAAAAACAGAAATAAATACTAAGCACTAAAATCCGTTACTACCGAGCTTCTCAAAAACAATAATTATTCACGCTATTAAAAACCAACAAAAAAAGGCAACAAAAACTAAAGAAGAGAACATATTAATACACATCAATCCTGCGCGCACAGCAGGAAGTAGCACAGCTGACAGATAGACAGACCAACTAAGTAACGAAGCGTAAAAATGCAGACAGACGGTCATTCTCCCACGAAAATAAAAGTGTTGGCAGCACCTTGGCGCGAACAATTATTGTTGCAAGCGCCGAAAGCTGCACACACAAAAGCCGACTCTAGCACAATAAAATTCAAATGAACTGCACAAATATTATATATGGACTGCCAGTCAGGGCGCAAGGAAATATGATCTAATAAAACATAAACTCGGCGAGAGTTTGGTAAAAAATTGCAAAAATCAAAAACGAAAAACAAATTTTAGCGAAAATTTCATTGGAAACTATTTAAACAACAAAACGAAATGCGTTTAGTGGGCACTTTCAAGAAGTCGTTTACTTCACGAACCCTCTGCATATTCATCAAATGTGGACACATTGCGGCTGGGTGAGACTCAAGCAAAAGTTGAAGAAAAAAAATGTTTAAAAATTAAAAAATTGACGCATAAAAATAATGACGTTTTCGCAAACTAAAAGACATAAATCAAAAAATTTCATTGAGAAAAATTCAAAATTCCACGCAGTGGCGCACATTAAACGCAAAAAAGGTAACCGAATAATAAAAAAAAGAAGCGAATGTAGGTATAAACTAGCAACCACAAAAAGCGAAAACCCAAAAGTACTACGGTGCTTTCCGAGATGCCACTAAAATTTTGATATATGAAATTTTTGGCGCATAAATACGGATTTGGTAGAATCTTTGGCGCACTGTCGTTAACCAGCAAATATGCGCGTAAAAGGCAAATGTCGTCGAATCCTGAAAGAAAACAACGTGGAAAACAAAACGACAACAGCGAAAGATATAAACAGCGAAAATCCGACATTAAAGACCACGCTGAACTACATAACACATAAAATGAGCGAACAATAAGAAGTTGTGGCGGCAGCGTACTGCACAGAAACTAAGCCGACATGATCGCTAATTTAGCAGTAAAAAATCGCAAAATATCGGCAGTGGGCTGCTAGGGGTCAAACAGTGGTTTATGGTTGGCAGAGACATGGGGTTGCTAGGAAAAACAATTCGGGGTGTTTAAAAGTCAAGAAAGTAAAATAAAAATATTGATATTGAAGTGTTCTCATAAGATCTTTAAAAGAAAATTCTTAGACCCCAAAAACTATAACTAGTTAACGGTTAAAATAAGTTACGCAGTCGAAATTCATTAACGAAGTTATTAGACCATTTTGTTCACAGTCGAATTTTTCATATAAGATAACATCTCTCGATTCCCTTAATATCTTTCTCTCCCCCTCTTTCTCTTTTGAGCTTGATCGATTGTGCTGATTTAGACTACTCAGCCAATATGAGGGTGAAGTATGAGTGAAACTACAGTGCTTTATTAGCTGATGTTGTGTTTAAATAAAGCAATACTTTAGGGAAAAAATAATACCGTTATAGAAGCAGAGTACTACATCTAAACACAGAAAAGGACTCTTCTAGAGTCTTAGAGTATAGTTCTAGAGTTTAGTTCTATTATTCAAAAAGCACGAGTATATAAGCTAAGAAAAGATATGGGAGTGCCACTCTTCGATACATAACTAGTATATGGAGAAGCATATAGACGGTTTATGAAACGAAATTCGCGGCAACCATTAGTTAGTTTACAAAATTTTAATCCCACCTGAATTTATCTTCAGTTTCCTTATTCTCTAAAGATATAAAGTCTCTAAATTTTCAATCCTTTTAAAGAATTAATTTTATGAAAAATAATTTGGAATATTTGATCCATATTGGTTATTATCTTATAAAACAGAACAAATAGCCCTGAGTTTTACTGGGTTGTGACCGGCATAAAAATACTTTTACATACTATACCTTGCTCTGCGGAAGCATTTGGTCAACATATTCTTAAGATTAGCAAATTATGCCCACAAATTTAGAATTCGATTAAAAAAGACGCGCGTGAGAGAGAGAGAGAGATAGCGATAGTGTGTGAGTGAGAAATATTTAGAGTAGGCGAGAGAGAAAGATAGTTACCGAGTGAGAAAGAAAATAGTTTTCGAGTGAGAAAGATTGAGAAAGATAGTGTGCGAGTGTTTAAAAAAATATTTTTGAATATATTTGAAGAAAATATTATTGTAATTGAATAAGATGCTTAAATAGCTGATTTGAAAAAATATTGAATATAATTCTCGCGATTACTTATAGACAAATATTTATTTAACTCTTAAGGTCTATTCGAAAATAAAGTTCTAAAAAATATTTGTCTAAACACTGTTCCACGGCCCACTACTTGTATATACGAAAACCAGCAAAGCTTACTCAAAATCGAGGTGCACTCATAGACCCTAAAAGCAGTTGAAATGCGCGTCAGATTTTTATGTCTGTCGGTACGTCTAAAATAGACAAAAACGAGGTTGAACAAAAAATTAATACCAAAATGAATCCTTTCTGCAAAAAGTTTACTGTTTGGTCGCTTGTTGTTGCTTTGGTGTGGCGGTTGCTGGTGAATGTTGAATGCGAGCAATTATCCATGTATTTCCTACCGTATAAAATGGGCAACAACAAAACAGGTCATAAATGCGAAACAACAGCAGTAATACAACGGCGAACAAGACCAACAAAAACAAAATACAGAAAATCGCAATAAATACAAAAAGTGTCGAGCGATAAACGCACACATTTATGGCAGCACCGATGCGAACCGATTGGGAAGATCATAAAATTTTATAATCTCACAAGCGTTGATGATGTGGGATCAACATAAGAAACGCTATATGGCCACATTTATAGTTACTGTTGCTCTTTCTACTGGTGTTGTTGTTGTGTTTGGTGCTTGTTGCCAGCTAGATAGCTGTTGTTAAATCTTTATCGCTTGTAGTTGTTTTTATTGTTGGTCAAGTTCAGCGATTTGGCGCATAAACCTGCCAACACACTTGACTTGACCCGACGCCGCGCACACAACACAACGCAAGGCAACGTGTGCAACATGGATATGGCGCGTATGCGCTTGGACTTGACATGAACACGGGCAGGCGCTCCGCAACAGTTGGGCAGAGTCCGGCTTGTTTGGTTAGTGTGCGCTTTGGTGGTTGGCTTTGTGGCGCGCGCAAATAAACAGTCTACAGTGAAATAAAGAAGTGCATAAACAAAAACAGCAACAACAATAAAAACAACAACAAAAGAAGCCAAGACAAGCTTGATAAAAATTCAAAAAAAAAAAAACAAAGAGTGGCAAAAATAAAGGATGCATGGACATAAATGTTTGCGCTTGAATGTCGAGGTGGGCCAACATAAAAGACCCACACTCTACACCTCCGTTTTAAGGTTGTAAGCGCGCGTATTTTAATGTGGTTTCCCATGTCCCGATGTGCCATTACTAATTCATAACAGTCAGGCAGCTAATAGCAGCCGTCCGAGTGCGAACATGTGGCCGAACAGACCGCAAGGACCGCAAGTATATGTATATATACCCGCTACACGTATCCGCATAACCGCCACAATTTTATATTGCAAGTCAACTGCTGCTTATGTGTTTCTTCCAAGTATTTATGTGTGTGTGTGTGTGTGTGTGTGTCTGTGTACGTACATATGTCGATGTCTGCTGCTCTAGGCTCAAGTCTTCACCACCTGCAACCATTTTCATTGACTTAGTTTTTAATTGCTTTCCACGTTCTTCTTCTCTTTGCCGCCACAGGTTTGGTTCCAGAACAAACGTTCCAAGGAGCGACGCATGAAACAAATCACCAGCATGGGACGTCCACCGTTCTTTGGCGGTGCGCGTAAAATGCGCGGCTTCCCCATGAATCTCTCACCTGGTGGTCTCGACGATGGTCCTGGTTTCCCTTATTTCGCTGCTGATGGCAAATTCGAATTTGGCTATGGTGGTCCACCGTTTCATCCGCATGACGGGCCATTCTTTCCAGGACATCCGGGTGGACCAATGCCATTCAATACACCAGGTAGGTTTTGTAAGTAATTTTTTTAAATTTTATTATCTATTTGTAGTATATTTACCTTACCATATGAATTTATAGAGGTGTGTAGAGCTTTAAGCTTATAAGAGTGCAGGTGAATCATTTTTCGAAGGGATATAAATCCATTCCAAGAAATATCGTATATATTACAAATCTATAAGCCCTATCGGGAAGATGGGACTTCACTACTTTTGTTATATTGGTTGTAGCAAAGCATAGTCCCATTTAAATATAAAAGGGCTTTACACTTTTGCAAGCATATACGCGAACTAGTCTCTCAGTTTTTGAGATATCAAACAGAAATTTTGCAAACGTCCTTTTCAGCTTATTTGTTGGTACCGCCAACATCGGACAACTATATTATATAGTCGTCATACAAACTGACCGATCAAAATCAAGTTCTCGTATGGAATTTTTTTTTTATTTGACAAGATACCTTCATGAAAGAGTATTTTAGTTTCAGTCCAACCAATGTGAACATTTTTCCATTTGTAATCAGTTTTTGGTGTAAGCCTTAATTAGCCAAATAACTACGAGTCTTATGGTATTATAAGTTTTCGAAAGTTTGGTGGATATTATGCAATCTAAAAGCTTTTTCTTGACAGCAATACACTCAGAGACGTTTCATTTCCTACCGAGATTTCCCAGACCTTAACAGAACTCTGCTTTTGCTGATGGTTGGAAATTTTATGCCGAACTAGAAATGGTTTCGACCCATAGTTGATAATTGTTATCACTTTAAAATTCCCAAGGCAAGATTGGATTTAAACCGATTTACTTGAGAATGGACCCGTGATTGCTGTGAGAATTATCTAATGTGCAACGCTGTAGCTTCATTTATGCCATTAAATAAAAAACGTCATTCGAAAACGATAATGCCAGGCCGCCTCTTAATGTCGATGAAAACCCAACCAAGATGTACGGTTAAAGTTCTTCCAGTAATTTCACTCGTAAAAAGCGCCAATCTCGTCGCCTAGATTAACACGACTTTTAAACAATTTTGGACGAGCTACCGCTCGGTACTAGAAGTTAGATTAGGTTGGCTAGAAATTAGATTAATGACAATCCTGGAAACTTGGTTTAACCCCCCTAAAAGTCCACACTTCGAAATATGGAAGATTTATGCTTCAAGAAATCTATAAGTTCCAAGATTTCTCAAAAATTTTAGTGAAGCTGGGACTCGTTACTAGAAATTAGTTTAAGCTGGAGAAAACTTAGAATATTCACATACTTGCAAAATACAATTTTTTTTACCCTACTAAGCGTACACACTTCAAAAACTCTAGAAGCATTGTGCTTCAAGAAGTGTTCTGTGAGATCCACAATTTCTCAATAAATGTGGTCAGATTGGAACTCGACAAGAGAAATAAGATTAGGCTGGTTAGAAATTAGAATGTTGGCAAACTTAAAAATTTAAACTGGTTTAACGCTCCTCTCCTAAGATGAGCCCACTCTTCGAAAACTATAGAAGCATTGCGCTTTAAGGCGTCTATAAAAACAATTAATTCTAAAAAAAAATCGGACAAACTTGTAGCTCGAGCTTAAATGACGTCTCCCCTCTAAAATAAAATCTTAATATAAATTTTAATCTCCAACGTTTTTCAAAAAGCCACATTTTCTAACGCCCACTCTCTCTCTCTTTCTCTTCACACACTTTCAGGCGGACCCATGGATCACAGCGGCCCCATACCGATGGTAAATGAATTTGGTCTCACACCCGAATCGCAATTCCTCAGTCAAGCTGGTGGCCCACCGATGAGCATACAATCGGCTGGGGGGCCACCGCCACCACCTGAACACCTACTGGCTGCGCAACAACAAGCACAACAACAGCAAGTGCAACAGCAACAACAACAGCAAGCACAACAATCGAATGGCCCGCGCTCAGCATCACCGGAATTCATGACAGCGGCGAACTTCAGCGAACCATCGAATATGCAAAACGAAGGACTGGTTTGGTAATATACAAAACAATTGGCCAATCGCCTGCTGCTGCTGAAGACCTTGAGCGCACAACAGCAACACCAACACCAGCAACAACAACAACAGCAACACCATGCGCAATTGCAATTACAGTCGCCGGCAGCGCAGCCGTCACCAGCCGCTCTGCTGCCAACACCATCAACAGCTGCTGCAAGCACTACAACAACAGCAGTGACGCCAGCAGAAACGATGGCGGCGATCTTGCTAGCGAATGAACCGCAAGTGGAGCAACAACAACAACAGCAACTGCAGCTGAAGCAAGAAGTTTTGCCGCCAGAACAATTGGAGCTGTTGGAACAATGGTGATGCACACGCTGGCAACTAAACGCGACGCAACCACAGAAAACAAAACAAAATGGCGGCGCATTACCCTCTAGCACATATATAGATGCTTGCTTTCTAGCAAAATTGCTGCAATGTAAATTTTATTGAATGTAAAAAGTGGTAAAAAATCAAAAATAATCGGCGTATCCACACATGTAAACGCAGCTCAGAGTGACTTGGATTTGGCAGCTAGATAATATATGTTGCACACACATACCATACATGGTGTAGAAAAGCAGCGCGCGAGAAAAGCCAGCCGAAAAATGGCCAAAAATAAATTTAATTTATTTTCTATAAGAAAGCACAAAAATAAAAAGCGCGCAGTAAAATTAATAGATATACAAGAACAACTACACAAACAGCTCTTTACCCTCACAACCACACACACATAAGCATCTAAGCTAAGCCTATTTGTATTTTGTGTATAAAAAAAAAACAAAACAAACTTTCGATAAACCCGAAACATAAATTTGTGGCACTAACAAAAACAAAAAAAGCAAAAATCAAGCAGTTAATTAAATATATATAAATATATTTAAATAAAATTAGTAAATATGTAAAATCCAAACAAACCAGAATCCACTTTGAATGTGCAACAAAAGAAATTTTTGCTAAAATGTACCACAAAACAAAAACAAAAACAATACTTTGCCCCCAATTTGAGTTGTTAGTGCTTTTATATATAAATTTTACTTTTTTCATTGTTTCTCCCCCTTTTTCTAAAAAAAAAAATTGTTGTCAAACAACGCACCGCACTTTGTATAAACTTCCTCCCCCACCCCTAACTAGTTTCAATTTTATATGAATGTTTGTATGTATGTATGTATGCAATTTTTATGCTTTCCCACTGCACAACTTCCTTTTGCGTTTCAGTTGAGTATCTTATTTATCTATGTAGTTGTAAGCTGTATAATTTATTGCTAATAGAGAAACCTATGTAATATTAAATATACAAAAACATATATGTAAAATGCTGATATTAATATAGAAGAAGAAAAAACCAGGAAGAATATAACAAAAAAAAAACAAAAAAGCAACTAGTGAAACGAGCAAGGCCCACTAAGAAGAAGTATGAAATGGAAAATTTATTATTATGAAAAAAAATGTATTGTAAAATGTATAAAGAGTTTAGTGTTAGCTTAATGTGTAAGTAATTATAAATAAATATATATATAAATATATATATACATATATGCATAAATATGATATTATATTTATCAGCAAAACTATTACGGTAATAATATGAAAGTCGTGAATGATAACAAATAACAAGTGAAAACGTAAAACAAAAAAAATTATATAATTCAAATAAACAAATTGTTAACTAAAATGTGAATATAACGGTTGTTTTTACTTTAAAGAGTAGGAAAGAAAGCCATTCGGATGCAGAAGAGGCTAAATTTTATTTAAAACAAGAAAAAACGTAACGTCGGTTGCACCAGCTATATGATATAGTGATCTGATCTGAATAATAATTTGTGCCTAATTTTGTGAAGATATTACATCAAATAAAAAAGTTTCCCATACAAGCACTTGATTCCGATTGATCAGTTTGTATAGCAGCTATATGATATAGTGGTCTGATATCGGGCGTTTCGAAAAATGAGCAACTTCTTAGTGAGAAAAGGACAGGTGCAAAATTTCATGACATGGCTAAATCAACTCAGCTCATCATGCTGATCCTTTATGTATACATTTTATGGGGTCTCCGACGTTTCCTTCTGGATGTTACAAACTTCGTGGCAAATTTTATATACCCTGTTTAGGGTATAATAAGAAGGAAGGACAAAAAATTGGTATAAAATTATCTAAAACCTACCATAAATGGCCAAGAAAAAAATAAACAAAAAGAGAGAGAGGATAAAGAATATAACAGTTGTTTTTAGGTGGTTCAGGCCAACTGCTTAATAAGTGAACTTCGGTCGGAGAAGTTACTAAATTTGCTTAGAACAAGTAAGGAAGGGCTAAGTTCGGATGTAACCGAACATTTTATACTCTCGCAAAGTCAAATGGTATACTCGTTTTAGATTTCTTTGTGGATCTTGCCGCCTTGTTCTATGTTGACCGATATTTTCGGTAAAAAGTCAGCTATATGCACTGGGGTCCACATATTCATTACCTAGGGGCTTGAACAGTTCTGACTCGATTTAGACAATTTTTGTTCACAAGGTGGCATACTTCAAACGCATTATTCACGCGAAGTTTTACCCCGATATAATCATTGTTGCTTGATATGCATAGTGGAAAGTGAAAGAATCAGATGGAATTGAAAATGGTGTTATATGGGAAAAAGGCGTGGTGTTGTAGTCCGATTTCGCCCATTTTCGCATTATGACATAGAAATATGAAAAGAACGTTATGCACCGAATTTGGTTGAAATCGGTTAAGCAGATCCCAAGATATGGGTTTTCACCTAAAAATGGGCGGTGCCACGCCCACTGTCTAATTTAAACGCGGTTCCTATAAAGTCATCTCATACCATCCCAGAGATAAAATTTAATGACTCTGGCGTGTTTAGTGCTTGATTTATCGCGCTTTTAGTAGTTTTTAACAGTACCGTTATATGGGGAGTGGGCGGAGTTGCCACCCGATTTCAACCATTTTCACAATCTAGGTAGAGGTTCTAAAGGCATTTGCTTTCAGTGAATTTGGTTATTATAGCATTAGTGGTTTAGGATATATGCACATTAAACCTATTAGGGGCAGAACCACGCCCACTTAAAAAAAACAATTCCAACTGCAGATGCCTCTCCCTAATATGATCCTGTATACCAAATATCAGTCTTGTATCTTGTTGTGGAGCTTAGTTATGGCAATTTATTTGTTTTTGAATAATTGCGTTTTGTGGGCGTGGCAGTAGTCCGATTACGCTCATCTGCAACACCAACCGTCTCACGGTACCAAGAAACATGTCTACCAAGTTTCATAAAGATATCTCAATTTTTACTCAAGTTAGAGCTTGCACGGACGGACGGATAGACGGACGGACGGACAGACAGTCATCCGGATTTCAACTCGTCTCTTCATCCTGATCATTTATATATATACCTATAACCCTATATCTAACTCGATTAGTTTTAGGTGATACAAACAACCGTTAGGTGAACAAAACTATTATACTCTGTAGCAACAGGTTGCGAAAATAAACCCAGAGGGAGATAGGAAAAGAAAGAGAGAGGAAGAGTAAAGTAAGATAAAAAAGAGATACGGAGTAAGTATGACAGTAGCAGAGATCGGAAACGATGCACCAATCATTTTCATTGATGCCAAAAATTTGGAACTAAGGAGCTTACACAATCTCACAATTTGTGAGCATATGAGAAAAATAGTGTAGCATACGGTAGTGGTTCAATAAGTACTTACCCAACAAAAGAAAAACAAAAAGTCTCTTTTTGAAACGATATGCCTGACCCAGGCCAATTGGTCGTGGAGACGACGGATGTGTATGTCTGTTATTTTCGCAACTCGGCCAATAATTCGCACAGTAAAGTCCTATGACCATTTTACCTTTCTTCACGTAGTCGATAAAAATCACATTTTTTGAATTCCAGAAAAGAATGTGGGCAACTTCCGGCCGATAATACAGTATTCGCCTTCTTTGAGAAGGGTTCGCTGGGTCCATTATTTCGACTTTTCTTTGGTCTCTGGTGTAATTGTATGTCAGGCGATTTTCGTTCGATAAAAGCTCATACTTCGTTGTTTGTTCGTGAACATGGCACTGTGTCACTTTTTCATATTTCCCAAAATAAAGAGAACCTTAAAGGCCCAGTATTTTTACAAGATAGATGTCAGGGGATCCATGTTTCGTCGACAGTTACGAAACGGATATGTATCTACTTCGAATTAGTCTTAAACAGCATCAAAAACTGCTGTGAACTGTTGTCCTTGTCATCTGCAGTGAGCAATTGCAGCATACATCGGGGCGACAGCTTTATCCTGCCAAATATCAAAGAATATGACCAACACAGTATTTTAAGAAACCTATTATTTTTGGCTATGTCTCAAGAATTAAATCGGCGGTCTGATAATACGAGATCATCGACATTTGTCAGGTTATCCTCCGTGGTAGCCGTTTTCCAACCACTTGGCGTGGCTCGTCAAAAACGGAATTAAATTCCTATGACAGCACGTTGAAATTCTTTAAACCAATAACCACCATCGAATAAGAAGAGTCACCGTATACTACATCGAATTGCTATTTGATTTCATTGCGCGATTTCTCTTCCAAAAACCAAAATCGTATCGTTCTTACGATCAATATTGATTCTTATTAATTTTTATAAAATCCGCGGACACGTTCGCTCATACATGCGTTGGAAAAAAAACTACGAGTGCGGCTGACATTTTGACAGTAGCCGTCTTGTAGAATCTTCTACACGATATGCATATGTAATAGTGGCAGCATCAGGCGGAGCAGCTTCTGGTTATATTTAAAAATGTATAGAATAAATGTGAGCTGAGAAAGGGTGCATTCATTACTTGAGTACTTTTAATGCAATTTTTATAATAGGAATGTTATATCGACCTAGGTTGAGTAAACTATCTTATATTTTACCAGTATATTTCGGAACAAATAAAGGATTGGGCTTTACGAGGATTTAGACTGAATACGATCATTTCTCATCAGCTATCATGCTACAATATATCAGCTATATGTATGGTTGTTCTTTCTGTTAATTCTGCTAAAAATTCAACACTTTTCGAAAAAACTATGAAAAATGCTACTTGGGTAGAACGCCATATTACATTCATTTATGTGCATCAAATATAAAGGAAAATAGTACTGCAATGAAAAAAGTGAAATTGAAGTTGTGAAAATGGCGTGGGAAAAGTTAAACGCCTTCACATGTGGTCTTCATATGAAACTCAAACCCAAAGATTGCAGTTTCACTCTAAAGATAATAATAAATTCAGCATCGAAGACAAATGAGAAACGTTTATCGAATAAAATATTTTTTTAAGAAAAGATATACTTAATAATGGAGCGATTCTATTCAAGGCGGAAAATAAGAGGATGATCGAATTGAAGAATGGCAATGGTATATAATAGACCACCGTTATGGTTTTCCAAAAAAAATTAGTTTAACTTAAAGAAAGAGACGAAGAGATGGTTCGAAGTACGGACTGATTCATTTAAACTATATCTGTACTATACTTATCGCGATTGAAGTGATATTAAGGCGCACTGAATGCAATACACCCAATGCAAAACAAAAGACACACTACTACGCGCATGCCACATATGCAACACCGGAACAAACGCTAATGCTTATGTGCTGGACATTTGTATGTTGTCATGTGTCCAATGCAGCAGCCATTAAATGGCAAACCTGTGCGCTTGCACGCAAATGCAATGCAATAGTCACCCACACACACACACCCACACAGACACACACGGACAAAAGCACACGCCTGACCACAGTTCCAGTTCACGGTCGCTACACTGGGATGCATCAAAACAACATGCAATACAGATAGAAACGCTTTCAAATGGCGCTCGCATGTCCACCCGCAATGTCAATGTTGCCACATGGTGCCGCAAAAGCACCAGTGCAGATGTGTTGGTGTGACGCGAAGTTCATCTGACATGTGTGTACATTTTGGATGCACTTCAAAGGCGAAGCGCCCTCAAATGCTGCTGTTGCATGTTACACCGTTGCAGCGTTGCAAGCGACGCTTATATCTCTATCACAAATAACAAAAGCCGAATGCAGCATGTCCTTATGCATGCCGTTATCACCACCTCACCACACCGAACCGCTCCGCTTTCAATGCAGCCCTGTCAACGTGCTTGAAGCAGGAACACAGCCATTCAGCGTCCGTTTCGCAGTCTCATTGTCCACTCTATGCTCGGACGGACAGACACAGGCTGTGGGTTAGGCAGCGTGCAACAAAACCTTTAACTGGATGAAGTTGACCAGCGAGGCAGACAAACATTACATTGCTGCCAACAGGAGGAGTCAATGCTCTAGTCTGCATGTGCATATGTGTTTGTGCGTGCGTGTGTGTTTAGAGGCGCTCATGTGTCACTTGTGGATCGGCCGAGTGTTGTTCGCATTCATGTTGGAACTTTCATCAATGTTGTTATTTGTTG